AGAATCAGTCAAATTCACTCAGGTGTAGCCATTTTTACCATTTTTGTGTAAGCTAAGGTCAATTAGCTGTGAGGGTCATCTTTATTTGGATCGACTCTAAACATTACCATTTAGTTATTATTTCCTAAAGTTTTCACTAAAATCCATCCAGTGGCTCATGAGATAGTTTGTTTACTAACAGAGTAAAAGTTAATTCCAATATTTAATGGCAACATGTTACGTCCCGTGATCAGTTAGCACTCGGGGATCAGTGTCTGCTATGACTACAACAAATAGTGGCTCAGTTTCTGTAACACTGACTGAATTTTAGCCATTTTTGTGTCCTCTAAGTGTGCTTGATGTGGCGGTCATCTTGAATCCTCCAGACGTTAATCAGCTGTAGATGTCAACCCAATGATTACTTTAGAGGTTTCGTTCAAATCCACTAAGTGATTCATGAGATATTTTGCTAACGGTACAAACGCACACAATCCATTATCGCTCCACCTTCACCTTTGGAAGAAAATGATACAAAAATAATATATAAAGTTATTGCAGCTAAAGGTGACTAATGTTCACTTGTTTTATCTCATAAAGCCTTTTGCTAATTTTTTCTAGAATAAATAGGTGAAATGTGCCTTGGGTTGTGGTTTTCCATAGATTATTTACATAAAGCCTTAAAATTCCAGATTAAATTCCAATTAAAACTGGACCATTTCCAGGTCTTTCTTGTAAAATAATCCCCGAGGCTCAATGGGATTAACTTGTATAAATAAAGGCTGAATGAAAAAAAAAAAAATCAAAGATGACACACACTCTCTTTTATGACACATTTTTGCATTTGAACAAAGCAGGTTTCTGATTTGGAAACAAGTTTGACATTATTAAGCGGCCCACACCACCCACTAACTGCTCTACACTGAACAGCGTGATTAAACCCTGAAAGAAAAGAGAGAAGACCTCTCCCTGTCCTCTAACAGCTGTTTCAGAGGCTGTCTGTATTCATCACTTCCTTTAGAGATGATTTCCTGCTGCTGCCCACGCACAAACCCCTAATTTATCTTGTGCAAAGAGGGCAAATTTATGACATGTTTTTGTCTGACTAGATGAGACCCTGTTGTCTCTACCCTGCTTTGTGGCTGATGTTAGTTACTAACACAGAAAATCTCCACTACTGGGAATACAAACTGCTGAAGAGGTGATTTTTTTTTTTGGTGCTGCACTAATGGAGGATAGCATGTTTACTTTTAAGAATCAAACCAGTAATCCATCGCTTCTCTCTTTTTTTTTTTTTCTTATGTTACATTTAATTTGATTTTCTTATGCCAGCGTAGTGGCAGCTCCTGTAAATATGTCACTTAACATGTTGATATAGAAATTATTATTTTAATGCTTTTATGCCAATCTAGACCTA